CAGGGCTACAGGATAAATCCTGAGGGTATCTGACTGACCTTATCAGATACAAAAATTATATTTCTTGTATATACGTCTTGCTTTATCTTGGTTTTAACCATCCAGCAGAAAAGTATAAAACGAGGTATATAAAGTCAAGCCATATTAATACAATGAACTGTAAAAGGCTCAAGTCAACAACTTCTGAGGATAACCACTAATATTATAGACAGCTAGACAGTGTTGAATTGTTTAGCTGAATTCAAACACCTATAGTATTTAGATGCCGATAGAACATCCACCTCTGACAGGACTAAACAAAAAAAAGAGGATACAAAGAAAAGATCATTTTGTATTTATATATACAAAATAGTTAGGCTTTGAAACTGTCTCATTCATATTTGTTTCTCAATAAAATTAAAATTAAAAAAATAATTATGTGAGTGGTGGTGCACGCCTGTAATCCCAGCGCTTGGGAGGTTGAAAACAGGAGGATCGGTACAAGTCTGATCTGTGTAGTGAGACCCTGTACTAAATACATTTTAAAAAATAATAATTATGTGAAAGGGTTGGTGAGCTAGCTCAGCAGACTAAGTGCCTGCTTAGGCAAGCACAGGGACACAGGTTAGATCCCCAGCACATGAGTGTGCTGAGCAGGCCACCAAATCTGGGCATGGTGGCACACACCTGTAATCCTAGTGCTGGGGAGGCTGAAAACAGGAGGATCATTAGGAGTCGAGTTGTGTAGTAAGACCATGTATCAAATACATTAAAACACAATAACAATTATGTGAAAAGATCCTTTTCCCAAATAAAGTAACATTTACAGGTTCCAGGGACTGTAATGTAAGTAACTTGCAGGGGACCATTTTTCAATCCGTCACACTTGCCAAAAATAAAGATAACACACCAATATAACCAGCTCCCCAAAGAAAATACTTTATCAAGCACATGACTGCTTTTCTTAATTTGCTTTATATTGTGAAAGACATTGGAAAATATAATCACTTTTAAATTACTCAGCCTATCTCATTTTTCTACACAGCATTTTTCTTAGAGACATGTTTTCTAAGCACTCTGAAAAAAGCTAAGAAACTTCTCTTTACTTTTAGTAAGATATCTGTCTTTTTTATAGTGTCCCTTCTGAATGTTATACAGATCATTTCAAATTAACTCTTCAATCTTTAACATTTTTCTTTTCTTCTTGCATTATTTTATATAACAAGTGAATGAGCAAACATTTTCTTCCAAACCAGGAAGCAAGAATAAATTCTTGAGTAAACAATCAAATTATCACCACAACATTACCTGCAGTAACTATCACCTCATAAATACCACTTTCAGTATTTTAACCTAAAACTACATGTAAGGCACATACTAATTTCTGTAAGCTTTGAAGACACCAAGTCTTTTTATTTCTTTACTGAAAACCCTATCATTGTACTAAACATGTGGAATATTCATTTACACTTTTCTAAATGGATTATGTATCTTTTCCACATTGTGAAACACAGAGCACAAAACATTCCCAGTGATTTTACAAATCTTTATATCTTATCTTAATTAAGTTGTTGAGTAATAGTAATAAACTTAATGCTTCCTATACTCTGTATAAAACTACATTATTATTACAGGGAAAATTAGTGTTTTTGAAAATGTTAAGGCTTTACCTAAAATATAATCTAGATGGTTCAGTGTGCTCTGTGCCTTCCTACCATGTGTCTTCCATCACCAAGCACTATCTCATCTTTTCTAATGCTACCTTCATACATACAAATACTTTTTTTTTTTTTTTCTCAGAACCGGGGATTGAACTCAGGGCCTTGCACTTGCCAGGCAAGCAGTTATTCTACTGAGCCATCTCCCTGGCCCCACACAGATACTTTTAATAGCCGCTATTTAGTCTGTAATGTTTCAGGATATAACTGCTAAGCCAAAATATTGATCAAAATTATCAGCAGCACTTTTGTTTTTGCCCTTTTTCCTATACAACTAGAAAGGTAAGATTCAATAAACAACTGAGTTGGACATATAATTAACAGAAACTTTCATTGTGTTAGGAAATGAAAACCTCCAACGGTTTATTAGCTAAAGAAAAGACAACTCTAGGACATCTTCTATGTAATTTGCTAAATTTGCTGGGCATGGTGGCACACATTGGTAATCCCAGTACTCAGGAGGCTAAGGCAAGAAGACTGCAATGAGGCCAGCCTTGGGTACACTGTAAGTTCAAGGCCAACCTGAACTATATAATCAGACCCTGTCTCAATCAAACAAACTCGCTAAATTCTTCAAGAGCACAAATAAGCATTCCAATGAGGGACTATAGTCCGATGGTGGAAAGGTTTAGCATTAGGTGAAACCTATAGTTAACAAATGAGGAAAGGAAAGCAGTCCAGGAGGATAAATATAATGTGCACAGGTACAACTCAGCACTGAACAACAGTTGAACATAAACAACAGAAGAGGGAAGGATAGGGAATACTACTGGTTGAGGCTAAAAACTTAAAAACTGGACTAGATCAGGCCATGCAGCAAGTGCTGGGAAAGTCATGGTACAATGACAAAGTCAGATTTGCATTTTAGATAAAGAAATCACCACTGGCAAGAGTGAAGGACACAACTGAGAAAGGCAAGAATCCTAATTAGAGGCCAAGTACAAAGAACCAAACAAGAAACCAGAAAAGCCAACAATAGAGCAATTAAATACACAGGACACGAGAAATGGGAAAAAAGGGGGAAGGGGCTGCTAAACTGTAGAGTTGTGGCAGTGTAAGTGTTGCTGATGATTAAGAAAAACAAAGAGGGACCAAGGAGATGGGTCAGTAGAACAAGCGCTGGTCTGGCAAGCGCAAGGGTCTGAGTTCCATCCCTGGTTCCACCAAAAACAAAAAAACACAGTACTTCAGTACAACAAATGTGTGGGCTTTAGCTTAGGGAAGGAAGGGAGGAAGGAAATAGCACACAGAAACAAAGGGGGAAGAAAGAAAAAAGAAAAAGCACCTAAGTAATTCAGTTCACTAATTATATGATCTTATATGTAGATAACCCTAAAGACTACACACACACACACACACACACACACACACGCACACACACGCACGCACACATGCACACACACTGAAAACTTGTACTAATAAATCAATTAAGCAAAACTGCAGGGAAAAAAATCAACACAAAAAAATCAATTGCATTTCTGTACAACAAAAAAAATCTGAAGAGTTAATTAAGAAAGCAACCCAATTTACAATGACATAAAAGAGGCCAGGCATGGTGGGAGGCTGAGGCAGAAAGATCAGGAGTCTAAGTACAGCCCAAAGAACACAGCACCATAGCAAGCTGCTGTCTCAAAATGTATTCTATTTGTTTATTCTTTGTTTTGTTCTGAGAATTACAAAACATTGCTGAAAGTAACTAAAGACAAACACCGAACAGGAGATTCAATATTAAGACAATAAGGTCCTACTCAAAAAAAGCTACAAATTCAATTCAATCCCTGTCAAAATCCCAGTATTTTTAATGCAAATGGAAAACCCCCCTTAAAATTAATACAATCAAGAGATCCCAAATAGCCAAAATAATCTTGAAAAAGAACAAAGATAAAGGACTCCTACATGCACATTTCAAAGCTTACTACAAACATAATGTGATATTACATGTTGAAGAATAATAAAACAAGTCCCACACCTTTCACCATGCATTAAACTAAAAACAAAATGGGTCAAAGATCTAAATATTAAAACAGTGCTCGCTTCGGCAGCACATAAACTAAATATTAAAACAGAAACATCAAGTCTGCTTGCAGATAGGTCAACCACAACTCTTCAAGACACTGGTGTAGGCAAAGACTATAAACTGCACAGAACCTATCACAAAGAATCAGCAACTGGGATCGCACTGAAAATATTTTGCACAGCAAAATAAACTACCAACAGAGTAGAGACAACCCACACCGGGAAAAAAGGTTTGCCAGCATTCCTCAGACAAAGGATTAACTTTGAGAATATATGAATAACTCAAAACAATCAGACTTCTCAAGAAGTAGAAACTGCAAACAAATATATTAAAAATGTTCAACACCACTGGTCATTTGAGAAACATAAATTAAAATAACACTGAAAAATTCCATCTCACTCCAGAAAGAACAGCTATCATCAAGAAGCTGGCAGGATTGTGGGGAAAAAGGAACCTTTCTCTATTATTGGTGTAAATGGAGAATGGTACAACCACTGTGCAAATCAATGTCAAAGAGAGTCCTCAAAAACTTCTTGGTGTTTTCCTGAAAAATTTAAAAGCATCATACCAGTGCAACATATGCACACCCATGTTTATAGCAGTTTGTAGTTGCTAAGTCTTGGGAACAGCCTAAATGTCCATTGATTGATGAATGGATAAAGATATGGAGCTGTTCTTATACAATGGAGTACTACTCTGCCATAATGAATAAACTTGAGACATTTCTAGCTAAATGAATGCACCTTGAGACCATATTCTTAAGTGAAATAAGACACACATTACTATATCGCACCATTTCTCTGGAATGAAATTGGAAGTGCAAATAAGAACCAAAATATGTAATAGGTATTGGGAAATAGCAAAAAGTGTTCAAAAAGGAGAAGGGGAACTAGAGGGGGGAGGAGGAAAGGAAAGAAAAAGAAAAAATGAGAAAAGAAAAAATGAGAAAAGAAAAAAGAGACAACAAAGCTTTTGCAAATAAGAGAAGTTGAAGGTAGCATAGGGAAATCAGGATAAAAAAAAGAATCAAATTATATCATGTACAGGTACGAATTCCCTATGATGAATGTGATCATTATGTATACATAAAATGTACTAATGAGCTTAATTAGAAAAAATGTGGAATTAGCATAAAGATGGACATATAAACCAAAAGAACAGAAAGTCCAGAAAGAAATCCTCATATATATGAACAATTAATTATGGACAAAAGTACCAAGATCAATGGAAGAAGAGTCTTTAAAACAAATACAACTATGATTCTAGGCAGGTGTGGTAGCACATACTTGTAATCCCAGCAGGTAGATTGAGGCAGAAGGATCTTTGTGAGTTTGAGCCCAGCCTGACATACAAAGTGAGTTCAAGACTAGCCTTAACTGCATAGTGGGATTCTGTCTCAAAAAGACAAAACAAAAAGAGCTGTGATACCCACGCAAATGAAGGAAGTTGCACCATGACCTTACATTATACGTTCGAATTATTCAATACTTGAGCCAGAAAAAAAGCTCAGTGACTTAAGTGCCCACCTGCCTGGTAAGTGCAAGGTCCTGAGATCAATCCCCAGTACGTACACACACACACACACACACACACACACACACACAAAAGAAAAGGAAAGGAAAAATTATTAAAAACTTAATGATTAAGTACTAAATCTATAAAACTCTTAGGACAGGGAAAAGTTACATTCAGCAAGTTTTTTGGCTATGATACAAAAAGCACAGACAATTTTAAAAAATTAAAATCTTTGTGCATAGCTGGGGAAATAGCTCGAAGGTCTAAGTGCCTGCCTGGTAAGTGCAAGGACCCAGGCTTGATCCCCAGTACGGCATGCTGTGCTGCCATGCCAGCCACCGAAACTGGGCATGGTGGCTCAAGCCTATAATCCCAGCACTGGGTAGGCTGAGACAGGAGGATCACTTCGAGTCTAAGCTGTGGAGTGAGACGCTGTACCAAATAAATAAATAGTGAAATAAATAAAACATTTTAAAAATTTAAAATTTTTGCATACGAATCATGCTATCGGAGTAAAGAACAAACCAAAAAATGAGAAAATATTTGCAAATCATACTAATAAAAGGATTAAGATCTAGAATTTATAAAAACTCCTACAACTCAAAAGAACAGCCCAATTCAAAAACAGGCAAAAGAACTTGATCAGACTTTGCTCAAAGCACACCCATAACAAAACAAAACAAAAAGCTCAACATCACACTAATCCACAGGTAAACAAAAACCAAAACCACAACAGGATAGCACTTCATGTCCATACGGATGACTTGAAAGAAGAGAGTGAAGGAGAGAGGGAAGGAAAGGGAGAGGACAAACTGGAAAAACTGTGGGAAAACTGGAACCCCTGTGTATTGCTGGTTACAAAGCGGCATAGGGGCTGGAGAGATGGCTCAGTGGTCTAAAGCACCTACTTGAAACAAGCTTAGCAAAGCACAGGGACCAGGGTTCAATCCTCCAGCACCACATGCCAGCCAGCCTGCCCCCTGGTGGGCTGAGCTGGCCACACACACACACACAAAAAAAATAAATGTAATAATAAAAATAAATAAATATTTTTTTTAAAAAAGCGGCATAATATACTCTTGAATACAGCATAGCAGTTCCTCAAAAACTTTAAATAGAGAATTATCAAATAGCCCAGTAATCTCAATTCTAAATGCTCCAAAGATCTGAAAACAGACCATCAAAAGCATGAATTGTACACCCATGTTCATAATAGTAACAACTGAAAGAAATGAATGCATGAGTGGATGAATAAAATGTAGCATATACATATAATGTAATATCCTGCCTTGTAAAGGAAATTCCAATACAAACATATAGTACTAAGCAAAATAACCAAACTCAAAAAGACAAAAGTTACACAATTCCTTTATAAACAATACATAGACCAGCCAAATAAATACACAGAAAAATAGAACACCGATTACCAGAGGTGAAAAAATATAGTAGAGAATAGGTATCTGACAGGTGTAGTTTCAGTATTAGACAAAGAGAAAGTTCTGAAAACAAAAGCAATTAATATAATTTTATGCAACTGAACTGTATTCCTAGAAATATTTACATTAAATCAAACAGAAAATAGTATACATTTTCTAAGGAAGAATGGGAAACTGAATTTGATTTTGGACTTCTTGCATATAAGATACATGTATATCACTCAGATGAATAAACATAAAAGTATAAAAAATTCTTGTGAGAAATTAAAGCTTACAGCAATCAACACTATGAAAGGAGAGACTGGGCGTGGTAGTGTGTGCCTGTAATCCCAGGCGTTTGGGAGGCTGAAAACACAAGAGTCACTAAGAGTCCCTGTGTAGTGAAACCCTGTAGATCCTATACTGAATACAAAAAAAAAAAAAAAAAAGGTGGCAAAATAAGCAGGATAACCTGCCACCAAAAACAAGAAAGATGCAACAGTAAAGTAGTATGTCTCAATCTTTTAGGGCCAGCCAGATAGTTCAGTAGACTAAAGCACCTGCTTCAAAAGAACGCAGTGGCTGGGGTTCAATCCCTGGCATGCTGTGCCAGCCCTGCCCCCAGGGCGCACTGTGATAGAGACTGAGACCAGGCATGGTGGTGTAAGCCTGTAATCCCAGAGCTTGGGAGGCTGAAAACATAAGAATCACTACAAGACCAAGCTACGTAGTGAGACCCTGTAGACCTTGCAGACCCTATACCAAATACATTAAAAAAAAAAAAAAAACTATGAAAGAAAAGATTAAGTTGGCCACAGTGGTGCACACCTGTAATACTTGTCCTATGGGAGGCTAAGATAGGAGGACTACAAGTAGAACTCTGCCTTGAGATAAAATATAAAACAAAAAGCCAAAGATGTAACTAGTGCAAAGGCCCTGCCTTTGCAGAACCACACACAGGCATATGCAAGCTGTGGAAAGGATTCACAAGATAAGGATCAAAGGAGACAGACATTGGGCTTGTTAGTTGAATTCTCAAGCAGTGGATGAGTAATATTCAAAATTATCCCACCATACACCAACATTATAGATGCTACATTTGGATCAAATAAAACCCCTCAGCAATATTACTTGGGCAGAAAGAAATCTACTAGTGAACCTTTAAAATAAATGATTCTTCTAAGATACTAAAATACATACATAAAACATCAAAGTATAAAATTCTGTCAGTGATAAAATACAGCATCTAACATGATTCTCTAAAAAACACATGATGATACCTATTTTTACTATTACAATAAAAACAAGACAGGGGGCTGGGGAGATGGTTCAGTGGAATAGGTGCTTCCCTGGCAAGCACAAGGGCCTGAGTTCAATCCCCGGTTCCACAAAAAAAAAAGACAAGCTAGCCCACCTTATCCAACCTACCCTTCTAATAATAAAATGGAAACTCCAAATTCTTCCAAGGTATAATAAACACTAAATAAAAGCTAACTTACCCAGGTATCATGTTACAGGTAGAAGAAATGAGCTCTTGTGTTACACTGCAAAGTAGGGTGACTATGGTTAATAATGTATAGTTCATTTTGGACTACAGCATGATACCAATCTAATATACAATCAAACATTCTGCTAGTAAATTTTAAATCGATTTTTAATTTAAATCTTTAAGTAGGGTACAGGCTGAATAATGGTCCCCCTGAAGGTATTCACATCATCATTCCCCAAGTATATGAACATTATCTTATGTGGTAAAAGGGACTTCGTATATGTGATTAAGAATCCTGAGATGGGGAAATCATTTTTGGTTGTCTAAGTCTGACCCAATGTAATTACAGAGATCACTCTGGATCAGTTAATATGACAACAGAAGCAAAGTCAAACAAGGTATCTTAATGGAAGTACAGTGGTCAAAAACAGAAATGTGAAGACACAGGATGGTGGCCTGAAGATAGAAGGGGCCATGTACCAAATGATGTAGGCAACCTCTAACCCAGAGCTTCCAACAATTTAATTTGTTCATAAAGTCCACTTCAACATGGTAATTGCCAGAACTGCAAGGTAAATTTTCATGCTGTAATACAGTACTAACTTTTAGTACTGTGTTACAGCAATAACAGAAAACTAGTACAATAGGTGAATCCTAATTACCAGAAGAAAGTCAATGGAAGAATGGGACAAAGTAAAGAAAAATAAGAACGTCCATTTACTTGCTCAGCTTCAATTTATCTGTTTATTTTTCAGCAAAAGAAAATTAAATGCAGGCTGGGGAGATAGCTCAGTAGAATAAGTGCTTGCCTGGCAAGCGCAAGGGCCTGAGTTCAATCCCCAGTTCCACAAAAATAAATAAATAAATAAATAAATAGAATTTTGAAAAAGAAAATTAAATGCACTTACAGGAATAAAGTCTTCTCAAGAACGAGTTCTCAAATTTGGATCCATATAAAAATTATCCCACACCAAGCATGGTGGCGCACACCTGTAATCCTGGCCCTTGGAAGACTGAGGCAGGAGGATCCTTGTGAATTCCAGATCAGCCTGGGCTACAAGCCTGTAAATTAAAGGCCAGCCTAAACTGCCTGGGGAGACCCTATCTCCCAAAGACAGAGAGACAAAGAGACAGACAGAGAAAAAGACAGAAATTATCTGATACCAAAGACCTATTTGAGAATAACTGAATTAATGTTTCCAAAAAGCTCCAATATGGTTTGAAAGCCAGTCAAATAGTTTTGATGGGCAGACGGCATTACAAAACACTATTCTATATAAAAATTAGTCTTTCAGTAACCTTAAAAACTCCTGACATTTTCAAATGCTACAGGTTTCTGAACCCTTTCCCCAGTAAAGATGCAACACAGAAATCATTCATTTATTGGCTTAGTTTATGTTTCACTGACATCAACTTTGACCATAAGAAACACCATTGGCAAAATATTGCCTAGGGAAAAATTTCTAAAAGGCCAATTACTGGATCAAATGACAGGCAAAATGCGCTACAGCTAAACTGCTATACTAATTTACTTTTCCACCTATTGGAGATCAGAAACCTCTTTTAAAAAGACAGGGCTAGGCATGGTGGTGCACACTAGTAATCCCAACACTTAGGAGACTGAGGCAAAAAGATTCCTACAAGTTTGAGACCAGCCTGGGCTATGAATTCAAGGTCGGCTAGTGCCAAACTCACTACATAGCAGTCATGGTCTGTGTGTAGGTGTCTCCCCAAAGCCTCATGCAGTCATGGGGCAGCTTCTGGAGTTGGTGTTTGATTACTGTGAGTGTGGATGTTGCACCTGCCCTGGGGCAGGTAATTTACATTACAATGTAAGGTAGGAAGAGAAGTTAGCCGCTTGAACTGCTGCTAC